TAGCACGTCTTGCTTGGCAAGTCTTCATCTTTATTGGAGTCCGAACGTGAAGCGGACTGCGCTAATTGAGCAAGTTGGACGAACATCTTTTAGCGGGGCAGTTTTTCTTTGCGGTATTAGTCATTGTTTGAAATTCTGCGGAGAATGTTTTAGAGCAATGCCTGGTTTGATGCAGAAGTTTGGCATGTGAATGTCTATCATTTATTTTTTTGAATATTGACTACTATCTGGTTTGTTACCGAGTGATCTAGCGGCCTTCACATAAACTTGCACGGGCTTAGCAAGTCTTGGCTTTATCATTTTTGCCGGTAAACCAAGCACCCCTAATAACTACAACTTCTAAACTATTAGGCCATCTAGATCAACATGGAAGGAGAAGAATGAATGTGTGGCATACGGCCTAAACTTCTCAAGTACGGAGCATCTCCAGCTCTTAATGGCTAGTACATTACTTCTGTTGTAAACACCCTTTAAGATCTTGATACTTTCGTGCTTCTCACCTCTAGGAGTCCTCCAGATGAAGCTAAAGGTGTCTATATCATGGCTTTTGATCTCGGATGGACTAAGAGTTAGTTTGGTTCGTGTCCTCGTGACGTGCCGCTTGGCCTGGAGCGCGCCTGGAAGATGCTTGCAAGTTGTTTGGCTTCTGTCCATAAAAAGCTTGAAGTGACCTGGCCTGGAATAGGAGGGAAATTAGCCTTGTTTGAGGAGCTAGGCAATTAGTTAGCCTGGTCCGGGCTTTAGCAATTGACCGCCTGGCGGGCTGCCTGGGTCCTAAGTACTAGGCAAACTGTACTTTTTATTTGTACTCACGACTCATGAGGTAATTTTTAACCTAGTAGCTCTCCCAGGCTAGAACCAAACACCCTTTTGCCCAGGCTGTCTAACAGGCAAGAAATCGTTCGGGATTCATATCCACACCAGGCAGTAAATTTTCCCAGGCACACAGCTATGGACAAGAACCAAACTAGCCCTAAAAGCCTGCGATATGGTTGGGATAAGGTCTTTTGGTGTGGCGCCGGTTTGGGGTGTGTTCTTTGTGTTGTCATGTTCCTAAAGACACTTCGAGCATGTTACTATTCGAGCGCCCTTTTTAGTGTGTCTTGCTAGGTAAGTTTTCATCTTTATTTGAGTTTGGCTGCGACGTGGATTGCATTTATTCTAAATGAACATTCTACTTGGCTAAATGAACGTTCTACAGGGCTGCTTAATCTCGTCTTTGTTTCACCAATATACTTCACTTGTTATGCAGACCCCCTAAACTTTTTTCCCATGTAGAGTTGGATTATTAATAACCATTATATTCCCTAAAAAATGCTTATATGATTCCTTATAAATTTGCTCGAGCTTTACGGGGTCCGGCGTTCGAAAAGTAATATATAGGTATTATATTTTCGAACAAAGGGAGCATGCCCACACAAAAGTAGCCTGGTCCATGTCTTTTGATTTGGAAATCGAAGCTTCGGATGAAGTTAAAGGTGTTTTTCATGGCTTTCGATGTCAGATGGACTAAACGCCTGCAACATGCTCCAGAGAAGGCATTTCGGTGTGAGCAATGGTTTGGGTTGTCTTTTCAGTGTTGTCGTGTTTCTAAAGAAAAATTGAGCATTTTATTTTCCAAGCGCCCTTGTGTCTTGCTAGGCAAGTCTTCATCTTTACGGGAGTCCGAATGCGACACGGATTGTGCTTGTTGAGCAAGGTAAACGCACATTCCATAGATGTGACCTTTCTTTGGGATATTAATCATTGTGGCCTCGAATTTCATGGGAGAATGCTCTAGAGCAATGTCTGGTTTGCTGCAAAAAATTTGCGTGCCAATTTTTGGCATTTTTTTAATATTGACTACTAATTAATTGGATATTGAATGATCTAGCCGGCCTTGCATAAAGTTGTGTAATTTGGCAAGTCTTTGCTTTAACAATTTCTGGTAGCAAACCAAAGCACACCCGTAATTAGTATGACTTTCAAAACGTTAGGCCATCTAGATCAGCCTCGAATGAGAGGATTTCATGTGGCCTACTGCCTACATCTTCTTAGGTACGGAGCATCTCCAGCTCTTACTGGCTACATTACTTTTATTGCAAACACCCTTCGAAATTTGATACTTTGGTGTATTTTGTAGGGAATGTACTACGCAAAACGCATTTTCTTTACCATGCGCGAACCTGCCAAGATCATTATTGATGTGCAGGTAACGAGATCATACCCTTGATGATGTCGATGAAGTCCTCCTACTCCCACAACTAAGTTGTACCTCTCAGCCGGGAGAGTTTCTCCTCGTGATGATCCGTCTGGTCCAGCGTCGACGATTGTGACACCTCCAAGGTATTCACATGTACCAAAGTAGCAACACCACAACAGCTTGTGGACCAACACAATGAAGCAGCGGGGAACTACGAGAAGGAGTTTCAGTAGCCTTACGATGAAAACTAGATCTAATATAGATGGGTAGAGGGAAGCGGTGGCCAACTAGGAGGGGTTCGGCCAACCTGGCCCCACCAGGCTGCCTCGCC